GGGGGTTGTGTAGTGTGTGGGTGTGTGGGGTGGGGGGGGGGTGTAGTGTGGTGGTGGTGGTGTAGTGTGGTGGTGGTGGTGTAGTGTGGTGGTGGTGGTGTAGTGTGGTGGTGGTGGTGTGGTGGTGGTGGTGTAGTGTGGTGGTGGTGGTGTGTGGGTGTGTGTGTGTGTACTCACCTAGTTGTGTTTGCGGGGGTTGAGCTCTGGCTCTTTGGTCCCGCCTCTCAACCGTCAATCAACAGGTATACAGATTCATGAGCCTATCGGGCTCTATCATATCTACACTTGAAACTGTGTATGGAGTCAGCCTCCACCACATCACTTCCTAATGCATTCCATTTGTCAACCACTCTGACACTAAAAAAGTTCTTTCTAATATCTCTGTGGCTCATTTGGGCACTCAGTTTCCACCTGTGTCCCCTTGTGCGTGTTCCCCTTGTGTTAAATAGACTGTCTTTATCTACCCTATCAATCCCCTTCAGAATCTTGAATGTGGTGATCATGTCCCCCCTAACTCTTCTGTCTTCCAGCGAAGTGAGGTTTAATTCCCGTAGTCTCTCCTCGTAGCTCATACCTCTCAGCTCGGGTACTAGTCTGGTGGCAAACCTTTGAACCTTTTCCAGTTTAGTCTTATCCTTGACTAGATATGGACTCCATGCTGGGGCTGCATACTCCAGGATTGGCCTGACATATGTGGTATACAAAGTTCTGAATGATTCTTTACACAAGTTTCTGAATGCCGTTCGTATGTTGGCCAGCCTGGCATATGCCGCTGATGTTATCCGCTTGATATGTGCTGCAGGAGACAGGTCTGGCGTGATATCAACCCCCAAGTCTTTTTCCTTCTCTGACTCCTGAAGAATTTCCTCTCCCAGATGATACCTTGTATCTGGCCTCCTGCTCCCTACACCTATCTTCATTACATTACATTTGGTTGGGTTAAACTCTAACAACCATTTGTTCGACCATTCCTTCAGCTTGTCTAGGTCTTCTTGAAGCCTCAAACAGTCCTCTTCTGTTTTAATCCTTCTCATAATTTTAGCATCGTCCGCAAACATTGAGAGAAATGAATCGATACCCTCCGGGAGATCATTTACATATATCAGAAACAAGATAGGACCGAGTACAGAGCCCTGTGGGACTCCACTGGTGACTTCACGCCAATCGGAGGTCTCACCCCTCACCGTAACTCTCTGCTTCCTATTGCTTAGATACTCCCTTATCCACTGGAGCACCTTACCAGCTACACCTGCCTGTCTCTCCAGCTTATGTACCAGCCTCTTATGCGGTACTGTGTCAAAGGCTTTCCGACAATCCAAGAAAATGCAGTCCGCCCAGCCCTCTCTTTCTTGCTTAATCTGTGTCACCTGATCGTAGAATTCTATCAAGCCTGTAAGGCAAGATTTACCCTCCCTGAATCCATGTTGGCGATTTGTCACGAAGTCCCTTCTCTCCAGATGTGTTACCAGGTTTTTTCTCACGATCTTCTCCATCACCTTGCATGGTATACAAGTCAAGGACACTGGCCTGTAGTTCAGTGCCTCTTGTCTGTCGCCCTTTTTGTATATTGGGACCACATTCGCCGTCTTCCATATTTCTGGTAGGTCTCCCGTCTCTAGTGACTTACTATACACTATGGAGAGTGGCAGGCAAAGTGCCTCTGCACACTCTTGTGTGTGTGTGTGTGTGTGTGGTGGTGTGTGGTGGTGTAGTGTGGTGGTGGTGTGGGGGGGTGTAGTGTGGTGTGTGGTGGTGTAGTGTGGTGGTGGTGTGGGGGGTGTAGTGTGTGTGTGTGTGTGGTTGTGTGTGGTGGTGGTGTAGTGTGGTGTGTGGTGGTGGTGTGTGGTGGTGTAGTGTGGTGGTGGTGTGTGGGGGTGTAATGTGGTGGTGGTGTGTGGTGGTGGTGTGGGGGGGTGTAGTGTGGTGGTGGTGTGTGTGTGTGTGTGTGTGGTGGTGTAGTGTGGTGGTGTAGTGTGGTCGTGTAGTGTGGTGGTGGTGTGTGGTGGTGTAGTGTAGTGTGGTGGTGGTGTGTGGTGGTATAGTGTGGTGGTGTAGTGTGGTGGTGTGTGGTGGTGGTGTGTGATGGTGTAGTGTGGTGGTGTAGTGTGGTGGTGTAGTGTGTGTGTAGAGTAGGTTAGACAGGGTGTACAGGGAGGAGGGTGTACAAGGATGACTGTGAGTGAATATAAAGACCATTCACCCAGGCTCTAATTATGCAGGGTGATAGTGCGTGCACTCTCCTTTAACTGCTGTTACTCGTGTGTGTGCACTCTGTGAGCGTCAGATCACTCGCAACTGTGTTATTTCACCATCTGCGCACTCTGATCATGTGGGAACTCTCAACATAAGTGCACTCAATTATACACTCTTAACATCTACGCACTCGAGTGTGTGCTCGCGACATGAGCACACGCATGCACTCAAAACAATTTCACTCTTATTATATACGCGCACTGTGAAAATACGAGCACTCTTGTACCACTCACCACCACATCATTACCACTATAACACTGTAATTATATTACCACTATAACACTGTAATTACATTACCACTATAACACTGTAATTACATTAATTATTAAAAGATAATTTAAAAATGTATAATGTTATATTTGTTTTATTATTACTAATATTTATGTTATAATTAACATCGTAAGATAATCACTCGCATGAAGAAATTGTTTTGGGGTCGACTCTGAATGAAGGTCGAGCCACTCAGATGGCGCTGAGGTCGAGTAATGGGTCTAGTAATTTCCTTCACTCGATCTCGTGGTCGTCTTAGAGAGTGTCTCTTGCTGAGGGAGCAGCACCTTCATGCCTCGTGACGGGGTAATATGGAGGTCGACCTTGTGCCAAGGGTCGACCTCTCAGTGAAGGTCGACCTCCTGCTGGAGGCACCTCGAGGCCGTGTGACGTAGTTAAGGAGGTCGGCCTCCTGTTGTAGATCTTGAGTCGGTTGCCTGACCCGGGAGACGACATCGTAGAGGCTTTGCTCGTAGAGGTTGTTGGCCTCGCTGACGGCGGTGATGAGGTCCTTGGAGGGAGCCAGGAAGAACGTCCCCTTAGGGTTGTACCGGCTAGGAGAAGGAAAAGAAGATAGTAAGGGGGGGAAGCTGAACGAGAAATGCATCAATTGAACGATCTCATTACAATGGTTAACCGGGAGCCGGTCGGCCGAGCGGACAGCACGCTGGACTTGTGATCCTGTGGTCCTGGGTTCGATCCCAGGCGCCGGCGAGAAACAATGGGCAGAGTTTCTTTCACCCTATGCCCCTGTTACCTAGCAGTAAAATAGGTACCTGGGTGTTAGTCAGCTATCACGGGCTGCTTCCTGGGGGTGGAGGCCTGGTCGAGGACCGGGCCGCGGGGACACTAAAAGCCCCGAAATCATCTCAAGATAACCTCAAGATAACCTAACCTATCCCCAAGTTGTTCGCCTGCCCCCACACCACCTAAGTACCATCATATCAAACCCAGGCTAGTTCGCCGTCACCTATCATCTGTCCCCAATCCCTTCCCCTCAAACTTAATCGCGTCATCTTCGTCTCCAAACCCGCTTTTGAACTGTCCAACCATCCTCATCCTTCTTAAAAGCTATTCATGCCCGTGCCACCTTTTGTGGTGGCTTAATCTTTATCAATCTATCTCATCCTTCACCACACAAGCTCAGTCTCACCCCCTACCCCACGATACTCCACCAGGGTCAACCACTCCACCTGAAGTCAATGTTGCAGAACGGTCCGCAACCACATCTACGTCGCTCGCTAGCTCATTCTCACTCTCCAACACTTACTCCGCTACACACACACACACACACTCGCCACACACTCATCACACACACTGCCAGAGTAAGCTGGCACCTCAGCACCTAAAGAAACTGGAAAAGATGCAGCCCGTCCTTACTCAGTGGAAGAGATGGGGGCAATGGCCACCCCACTCTCACTCACCACAAGAGCTGAGAGAGTGGGTATAGCACCACCCCCACCCCACTCTCACTCACCAGAAGAACAGAGAGAGTGGGTATAGCACCACCCCACCCAACTCTCACTCACCACAAGAGCTGGGAGAGTGGGTATAGCACCACCCCACCCCACTCTCACTCACCAGAAGAACAGAGAGAGTGGGTATAGCACCACCTCACCCCACTCTCACTCACCAGAAGAGCAGAGTGAGTGGGCATAGCACCACCTCACCCCACTCTCACTCACCAGAAGAGCTGAGAGAGTGGGTATAGCACCACCCCACCCCACTCTCACTCACCAGAAGAGCAGAGAGAGTGGGTATAGCACCACCCCCACCCCACTCTCACTCACCAGAAGAGCAAAGAGAGTGGGTATAGCACCACCTCACCCCACTCTCACTCACCAGAAGAGCTGAGAGAGTGGGTATAGCACCACCCCCACCCCACTCTCACTCACCAGAAGAGCAGAGAGAGTGGGTATAGCACCACCCCCCACCCCACTCTCACTCACCAGAAGAGCAGAGTGAGTGGGCATAGCACCACCCCACCCCACTCTTACTCACCAGAAGAGCTGAGAGAGTGGGCAGCCCACCACATAGAGGAGGCGGCCCTGATACTTCAGCCTCATCACGCCGCGGAAGATCTCGCGAGTATCCCAGAAGTACGACCCCAGCCTCTGGGGAGCAACAGGTGTACAGAGGTTTACAGGGAGTCAACTGGGGTTTCCATATGTATAAATGAATTTGCAAAGGGGGGTGTATAGAAATACATATTGAGTTTACAGGTTATACCAGGGTTATACTAGGAATGGATCTTAGATTTAATAGGGTTTACGAATTAGCGATCTGGAATCTATAGAGCTGTGTACTAAGGACAACAAGGGCGAGGAAAGTACACCTTTCTAGCTCCGAGTGTGTTTTCTCGAGGCATGAGTGTGTCTTAGTGATGTAGACTACAAGAATTGCTCTCTCAGAATGATCGTCTCTAGTGAGAGTGCTTACATGAGTGTGTACTATACTCCCAAGTGCGGTTATGTCACATATTCCTTGTGCTTGTCGTAATTTTGCTTGGCATATTTTTCAATACGAAACCTCTGAGAGTATAATACCCGGGTGTATCGTAGAGTAATTTTGTATGGCGAAGTTTTCAGGGGGTGTACGAGGGTGTATGACTATACATAGGAAGTATTGGGGCAGTAAAATAGGTAAACATGGGCCTTTATACTGAAGTTTATATAGCTTTGACGTGAATTTACGTTCGAACTGAAATTGAATGACATAATTTCTGCGATTTACGGCGTTTTTTCAAGAATGTCCCGCGTTTTTTTCGCGTACGCACTGATGTTTGGGTAGATGGGGGTGTTGATGGGGATGGGTGTTCCGGAGGGCTTAGGGACGCAGCGTGGGTGAGTGTAAATCAAGTTGGGGATTCACCGGAGTATTTCGGGGCTTTCAGATGAGTAACGAAGTGGGATACGCACTTATGTATGGGTAGAAAGCGGGGGAATACAATAAGGGTGTATGGGGGAATGTGTACCATAGATGGGATATACTGTTAGGGGTATACCACAAACTAAGTTAGATAATTTCTGTATTAACATACTCTTAAAATTAAGCTCTGAATATTATGTGATTTTAAAGCAAATCATCAAATGTAATCAATCGGCTTTCCTTATGTACCATTAAGAAGAGCCGTATGCCGAAGAACTCGTCGGTTCTCGTGCCGGACCTGACGAAGACGACGAACGGTCCCGGACGACCCTCCGGCAGGAAGCTCTCCTCGCTCGGGTCAGGGATCACCATCTCCGCCGCCTCTATCTCTCTCTTCATCTCCTCCAAGTAGTTTTCCAGGATGATGCTGTGGGCGGAGGTGTGTGGATGACTGGGTGTGTGGGTGGTGGGCAGTGTGACGATTGTTGGGTGTGGGTGGTGGGCAGTGTGACGATTGTTGGGTGTGGGTTGTGGGCAGTGTGACGATTGTTGGGTGTGGGTGGTGGGCAGTGTGACGATTGTTGGGTGTGGGTGGTGGGCAGTGTGACGATTGTTGGGTGTGGGTGGTGGGCAGTGAGACGATTGTTGGGTGTGGGTGGTGGGCAGTGTGACGATTGTTGGGTGTGGGTGGTGGGCAGTGTGACGATTGTTGGGTGTGGGTGGTGGGCAGTGTGACGATTGTTGGGTGTGGGTGGTGGGCAGTGTGACGATTGTTGGGTGTGGGTGGTGGGTAGTGTGACGATTGTTGGGTGTGGGTGGTGGGCAGTGTGACGATTGTTGGGTGTGGGTGGTGGGCAGTGTGACGATTGTTGGGTGTGGGTGGTGGGCAGTGTGACGATTGTTGGGTGTGGGTGGTGGGCAGTGAGACGATTGTTGGGTGTGGGTGGTGGGCAGTGTGACGATTGTTGGGTGTGGGTGGTGGGCAGTGTGACGATTGTTGGGTGTGGGTGGTGGGCAGTGAGACGATTGTTGGGTGTGGGTGGTGGGCAGTGAGACGATTGTTGGGTGTGGGTGGTGGGCAGTGTGACGATTGTTGGGTGTGGGTGGTGGGCAGTGTGACGATTGTTGGGGGTGTGGGTGGTGGGCAGTGTGACGATTGTTGGGTGTGGGTTGTGCCCAGTGTGACGATTGTTGGGTGTGGGTGGTGGGCAGTGTGACGATTGTTGGGTGTGGGTGGTGGGCAGTGTGACGATTGTGGGTGTGGGTGGTGGGCAGTGAGACGATTGTTGGGTGTGGGTGGTGGGCAGTGTGACGATTGTTGGGTGTGGGTTGTGCCCAGTGTGACGATTGTTGGGTGGGGTGGTGGGCAGTGTGACGATTGTTGGGTGTGGGTGGTGGGCAGTGTGACGATTGTTGGGTGTGGGTGGTGGGCAGTGTGACGATTGTTGGGTGTGGGTGGTGGGCAGTGTGACGATTGTTGGGTGTGGGTGGTGGGCAGTGAGACGATTGTTGGGTGTGGGTGGTGGGCAGTGAGACGATTGTTGGGTGTGGGTGGTGGGCAGTGTGACGATGTTGGGTGTGGGTGGTGGGCAGTGTGACGATTGTTGGGTGTGGGTTGTGCCCAGTGTGACGATTGTTGGGTGTGGGTGGTGGGCAGTGAGACGATTGTTGGGTGTGGGTGGTGGGCAGTGTGACGATTGTTGGGTGTGGGTGGTGGGCAGTGAGACGATTGTTGGGTGTGGGTGGTGGGCAGTGTGACGATTGTTGGGTGTGGGTAATGGGCAGTGTGACGATTGTTGGGTGTGGGTGGTGCCCAGTGTGACGATTGTTGGGTGTGGGTGGTGGGCAGTGAGACGATTGTTGGGTTTGGATTGGTGGATGACTAAATCATTTGCAGCTGGGCAGAAAGGAGGGTGGATGAATGTATGAAAATGGTGGATGAAAGAGAGTAATGTTGTACGGATGAATAGGCAGGTTGATGTATGAGTTGACGATTGTATGCGTACGGTAGTAGGTGGCTGAGACTGTTAGTGGTCACCTTCTGTATTTCTATTCATCCAATGATGAAAAAAAAACAGTATGTGTGCTCTATCATGTAGGCCAGATTGCAGACATGAAGAGCTTAATAACATATATAGTATTCAGTTTGAGGCACAAAACTCGTAAAAGGTAAAAAAAAAATCAACTTAATAACATAGGTATTGATTTTTTTTTTACATTTTAAAATTAAGAACAAAATTCTACTCCCAAGAATGTGTAGTGACTGACATTTCTACTGCCAAGAATGTGTAGTGACTGACATTTCTACTGCCAAGAATGTGTAGTGACTGACAATTCTACTCCCAAGAATGTGTAGTGACTGACATTTCTACTGCCAAGAATGTGTAGTGACTGACATTTCTACTGCCAAGAATGTGTAGTGACTGACATTTCTACTGCCAAGAATGTGTAGTGACTGACATTTCTACTGCCAAGAATGTGTAGTGACTGACATTTCTACTGCCAAGAATGTGTAGTGACTGACATTTCTACTGCCAAGAATGTGTAGTGACTGACATTTCTACTGCCAAGAATGTGTAGTGACTGACATTTCTACTGCCAAGAATGTGTAGTGACTGACATTTCACAGTAGCATCCCTGAGCTTCCCAAGCTTCTCAAACTTTTAAAGGAATATAAAATTAAAGAATCTTGAAGGTTATCAAACTATTTCATTACAAAATTCACTAGATAACTATTAGGAAACTTTCTACAAAATCTGCTATAAAACTTGTGATTTGTTGTTGTTATAGATTCAGCTACTCGGAACAAGTTCCAAGTAGCACGGGCTATGGTGAGCCCGTATCAAACTTGTGATAAATTTTGAAGGACAAACTGATAAGAACTTTGACCGGGGAATAAAACAACACAGAACATTCACGTGTTTTGATATCATTAAAACACGTGAGGGGGGCGCGGGGGGGGGGGGGGGGAGAGGGTCTAGTGTACTTTTTTTTTTCGTATACGAGATGTAGTCCATCACAGTGAGTTAAAGTTCACAAAATTACTTCGTGTGAATCAAATCTTGAAATAAATGTATAATATTTTTCTAATTAGATGCGTATTTAGTGTAATTTAAATGTTAGTTTGGGATAATATTCCTTATAACATTTGATAATTGGTCAAATGAATAATAATCTATTAGCCTCTAAACATACGTACCAACCAGACTATGTAATTTCTCCTGAATCTATCGCTTCTCTTTCATTCCTTGATAATGATCCAATAAATAAGGATCAATGAAACCATCCTTAATTATTGTTGCTTTTCTCCTGCGATTATTTCAGTTTAATTGACACATAAGTTTATTGTGTTACGCCTTAGTTTGGTTTAGCGTCATGGCAAGTCGTCCATAGCGAGTGAACGCTGACGGATATTTGTTGATGTCTAGGGATAATAATGTTACTTTCCTGCCGTGGTGTGATCTTCTTGAGGTTATCTTGAGATGATTTCGGGGCTTTTTAGTGTCCCCGCGGCCCGGTCCTCGACCAGGCCTCCACCCCCAGGAAGACGCCCGTGACAGCTGACTAACTCCCAGGTACCTATTTACTGCTAGGTAACAGGGGCATTCAGGGTGAAAGAAACTTTGCCCATTTTGTTTCTGCCTCGTGCGGGAATCGAACCCGCGCCACAGAATTACGAGTCGTGCGCGGTATCCACCAGGCTACGAGGCACCCGTGATGTGTGTGCTCGCCTAATTGTGCTTGCGGGGGTTGAGCTTTGGCTCTTTGGTCCCGCCTCTCAACTGTCAATCAACTGGTGTACAAATTCCTGAGCCTACTGGGCTCTATCATATCTACATTTGAAACTGTGTATGGAGTCAGCCTCCACCACATCACTTCCTAGTGCATTCCATTTATTAACTACTCTGACACTGAAAAAATTCTTTCTAACGTCTCTGTGGCTCATCTGGGTACTAAGTTTCCACCTGTGTCCCCTTGTTCGTGTCCCACCCGTGCTGAAGAGTTTGTCTTTGTCCACCCTGTCAATTCCCCTGAGAATTTTGTGTGTGTGTGTGTGTGTGTGTGTGTGTGTGTGTGTGTGTGTGTGTGTGTGTGGCAACCGTCTCTGGGCGGCGATGTACGCTCTAAGATCTCCGTCAGGCAGGTACTGGATCTGTGCGAACCAGCACACACTACACCAATAGCGGACAGTTAATCTTTTACGACTGGTTATGCCATTCTTCACCCCCTGCATTCTGGATTGCCTTACCGGTTATTTTAGACTTTTCCTTTGTCCTACAATCTCCTTAACCTTTATCTTCCCCTCCCTTCCACTCCCCCGTTTCATATATCTGGTTCCCTTCTGGCATTACCTGCTGAGGTTCTGGAGAACAATGTGTGGGACTTGAGATGTGAGCATGCGGCTGTAGTAGAGGTGCTGCTCGAACCCGTCAACGTGAGCGCCGGCGTTGCCTGCGTGGAACGTCCTGGACACCTCCGGAGACACGACATCACGCCCACGCTGCGCCCACGCCCTCATCAGCCACCAGTCCCAGTCACCTGGCTGTGTGGGAGGGAGGATGGTTGGTGGTGGTGTGTTGCGGGGGGTGAGGTATCTCTCCCTCTCTCCCTCACTACAGTCAATTCACTAGAGTCAACTCACTCCCTCAGGAATCCAGTTGGTGATGACCTGCCTGGCGTAGCTCCTGGCCACCATCCACCCGTACATGGGGTAGGACTCCGACCTCAGCATCTTGGTTGTGTCGGAAGCGATTCCCGGCAGGCTGTTGCTGTTGAAGGCGTTCACGCAGAAGATGGTGGGGTCATTATCCAGCAGCCACGCCGCCTGGTGGAAGAAGCTGCAAACAGAGGTGGTGAGAGAGTGGGCTTGTCTAACAATGTTTACCTAACAGCGACCGCGGGAAGGTAAGGTATAGCTAACTACATCCTTGTTCCACCTGTTGCGTTATATAATTTAACTATCAATGTTAAGTCGCTTGTGGGTGAGCACTGTAAAGCGCCTCTGTGTGTTGTCTAGTGAGATCTCTCTATAGTGTCAACATTTCACACAAGGGTGGTGATTATGTAAATGTTTTTGGATGTTTTTCTCATTTTTGCTACGATCATGGAACTGCAAGGTAAACAGGCCTATCCAAATCCGCCAAGGTAGGTCTATGTCTGCAGGAATTGAAGAGAGAAACAGCTTATTTCTCAACGTGTATGAATATAAGAAAATTGTCTGGACAGAATGTGTAAGTCTGACTCACTTGAACAAATATGGGTGGTCCCCTTATCTTTGATCATGGCTACAGTGCTCCTTGTAGGTTCAATTTTAATAATGTTTGTCTTTAACAATATTTCTTAAACTGAATCAACGTATCGACTCTCCACTGCTCACTGTCTTACCTGAGGAAGTCTGGGGAGAGGAGGAGGTCGTCCTCGACCACTATGGCCTTGTCAGCTTGAGGAAAGCTCCTGAAGACGCTGTAGAGGGCGAACCTGACGTTGGCGTTGGTGCGGTTATTGCCGACGCCCTCTGGTCTGTGGACCACCACGCCCACGCCCAACACCTCCGTCAGGGCCAGGGCCTCCTGGTGGGCGCCGTCCACAGCCACCAACACCTCCGTCTGCGCCGCCCCGGGGATGCTGAACAAGTTCCTCAACACTCTGTGTACCACAAGCAGTAGCAAGTACACATCCCTATATTAAAAGCACAGAAATACACGCATATATGTCCTCTACATCGCGTAGAGAACACAGGCTAATAGACTATAAGGGTTCACGGAACTGTAGCTTGTAGGTGGTGCTAACCTGTAGAGGTGTCGAGGATTGCTGGCTGTCACCACCACTACCGGGATCTGCTCCTTCATCACCAGTTGTTCCTGTGAAGAGCAATAATACTACCAGTATACAAGCTCCACCACCACCACTCTGTACGAGTCAACACATTCATCTGTATACATGGGTCATCACACCGACGTCATCACCAGTATGCGACAGTCACGTATACGAATCACTTAGATGCAAGCAATGTCTGTCTCTGAATGTAAATTAATTTCAATAGATTAAATAGGTTCTTTAATTTGGCGTAAAAACCCAATACGTTCATCAGTATCGAAGTCTGTGTAATGGGTCCCATAGATGGGTCTCAGACCCATGGATGGGTTACAGACCCATGGATGGGTTACAGACCCATGGATGGGTTACAGACCCATGGATGGGTCTCAGACCCATGGATGGGTTACAGACCCATGGATGGGTTACAGACCCATGGATGGGTTACAGACCCATGGATGGGTCTCAGGCCCATGGATGGGTCTCAGACCCATGGATGGTGTTAGGTTGCCTAGTGGACACATTTAATGACACGCCACCAATGGCTTTTGGAAGCCATATTTTATATAAACAAGTTTTACAGTAAACCAAAGGACTGAGGTGTGCAATAGCGTGGGGTCTGTATTAACACTGGACAGGGTGACCTACCTGCTTGTACCTGACGGCGGGGCTGAAGGGGGCGACACAGGAGCACAGGTCACCATACCCTTCAAACCTCCTACAGAACCTCCCTTGAAGACGTAGCTCAGCCTCCAGGTACCACTCGCAAGCCACTGTAGTTACACGTACGTAAATGCATATATATGGTTTAATTTTTGTTTCAATGTCTCAATTTAATTGGGTTATATCTTCCAGTTTAAAACAGTTAATTACTTAAGCTAAAGTTCGAACTAAATTGATTTTCTTTGTATATTTAGTTCAGGCAATTATTAAGCTGTCATGCTAAAACTTTTACTATCCCGCAATAAAACCAGCGGACTTTTGTGTCAGGCCACTGATGCACAAGTCACTTTTGTGACTACAGTGTTTTCCGAACTTACAGTAACCTGTAAGTTCGGAAAACGGTTACAGCTTAATCATAAAAATTAAGAAAACTAAAGACTGCCCATTGACTCATACGAGGCAGCTCCAATATATATATATATATATATATATATATATATATATATATATATATATATATATATATATATATATATATATATATATATATATATATATATCTATATATGTATATATAAACACATTTACCAGGAAATTCGTTCCACTTCAAGAAAGGAGTCTCCTTCAAACGATATATTATCGAAAATATATTTTCATAGCATATTGCAGTGCTTATCTTGAGGTTATCTTGAGATGATTTCGGGGCTTTTTTAGTGTCCCCGCGGCCCGGTCCTCGACCAGGCCTCCACCCCCAGGAAGCAGCCCGTGACAGTTGACTAACACCCAGGTACCTAATTTACTGCTAGGTAACAGGGGCATAGAGTGAAAGAAACTCTGCCCATTGTCTCTCGCCGGCGCCTGGGATCGAACCCAGGACCACAGGATCACAAGTCCCGCGTGCTGTCCGCTCGGCCGACCGGTGCTGAAGGAAACATAAGCTTGAATCTGAAGTCAGCTGTGTTACCTTCTTGCGTTCCTTTGGGTAGAGTAGTCAGCAGGTGAAGTGTGTTGGCCGGGTACTGGCGTGGCTGCACTGCTGTGGCCGCCTCTGCCACCACCCCGTGGCCTAAGATGGCCACCCCTGCCCACGCCTCCCCCGACGCCACGTGCTGGGGCCACCTGAACCCCAGGGATGCGAGGGCCGACTCCCCCGCCTGCCCCAGGAACATCACCCACTCGGGCTGGAGAGAGAGAGAGAGTTTTTAGATGATGGGGGAGAGCGAGGGGGGTGTTTTCTGTCTCACGTTTGGTAGGTAATTCAGAGTTAATGTTTTTCCTTGATTAGTGGATTAATCTTTGTTATATATATGTATCTACATAGAGTCCACACACACACACTCACCACAGCAGCCAGCACCACAACCCTCCCTGGCTGGAGGTCGCGGAGGGCGGAGGCCAGATCGAGGTGCTCGGCGGGCTGGAAGGTGAGGAACCTCTTCTTCAGCATCACTCGGCCGGTGAGCGGCTGGAGCACCAGCAGGTGGACTCCTGAGTGACGCCACCTGTGCCCCATCTGCGCCACACCCCCGCCCTGCAGCTGGTACACCTGCCAGGGAACCAGCGCCCAGGGCGCAGAGGAAAATAAAGATGTTATAAAGGAGCCGATCGAAGACTAGCGGCGGAAGTAAGAGTTTAATACATTATAACATTGTTGGACTACACTTGTCACCATACAAACATAGATGGTCGACTTACCATGTTTCCGTTGACGGATATGGTGACCTCGGCAATGCTGATCTGAACTCTGACCTCCAGCGGGCGTTCGTGGCCATCTGTACGAATACGGTCATTTCGTACATAACACGCTTAAGTTACAGTCTGATTTTGGTTTATGGAAAGCTTATTCATCGTAACCTAACCAGGCCAAACTCAAATCTAACCTAAACAAACAAAACTCATCCATAACTTGCATATGCAAATCTAGCGCAACGAAACCGACTTCAGATTCACTGACTTCAGCTGAAGTCAGTGAATATATAAACACATTTGAAAGCTGACTTCAAGCGTATGACTTCAGATTCAAAAAACTGACTTCAGATTCAAGCATATGTTTCCTTCAGGATTGATGTTGCCTCTGAACTTGACTTGTGGAGATTCTTCTGCAGGTTGGTCTCTCTCTGCACCTTCAGGAGGCCTTGTTGTCTCGCCTGGTGCGCTTATCTTGCTTACGTTTTCCCCATTTTGCATTTCTTATCTTTCTCTATTTATTCGATTCTCATTCTTCCTTACATCACTTTCATCTGAATTGTGTTTACTTCCTCTACGTTCCTCACCTGCGTACAGTTCTTTTCCACTTACCTTTTTTCCTTTTTCTAGCTTTTCGCTCTCATTCTTTTCCTTATCACTTCCCTCGCCCTCTTTTTTTTTTTCCCTTCCTATGACAATCCCCTTCCCCTCCCTCATCTTCTTCCTTCCATTACTCTCTTCCTCTTTCATGTCCCATTCTACCCGTCACCCTCTACCTCTCCCTTACCTCATGGTAACTATCATCCTATCTCCCAGTTCTCTCACCTGTACATGTGTTCATCCCGGTCGGATGATGAGGGGAGCCGGTCGGCCGAGCGGACAGCACGCTGGACTTATGATCCTGTGGTCCTGGGTTCGATCCCAGGCTCCGGCGAGAAACAATGCGCAGAGTTTTTCACCCTATGCCCCTGTTACCTAGCAGTAAAATAGGTACCTGGGTGTTAGTCAGCTGTCACGGGCTGCTTCCTGGGGGTGGAGGCCTGGTCGAGGACCGGGCCGCGGGGACACTAAAGCCCCGAAATCATCTCATGATAACCTCAAGATAACCAAGATCCCTACTCTTCCTCACTGTCCTCTACCTCTCGTCTCTCTGTCTTCCTACTCTTCCCTCCAACACTCCAACACTCCCCCTCCAACACTCCCCCTCCAACACTCCCCCTCCAACACATAAGAACACAAAAGGTGCAGGGAACTGACCAGACCCTGGAGCTGGAAGCATCATGGGTTGTAGTGAAGAGTCTGCTCCTGGTCAGGACGATAGAGACATCATCATTGAGAAATATCATCAATAAAAGACATCATCAATGAGGAATTATAAATAAATCCAACATACAATCAACTCAATGAAACACAATACCAACGTGACTGAGACTGAAATAAAACTTTTTTTTCACTTTCTCAAAAGGAATGAGAAACCTAAAATTCTCTCTCTCGCACTCTGGTGACCGCTTAGATGCTACTGTGTGACACTTTCACACAGTAGTGTGACACCATGCTACTGTTACGTGTGTGTCAACCTCGTTATTAATAAGTACATCTGTCGGAAAAACCGACACCATTTAATAATATCATGCAATTGCAGATAATAGCTGTGCTGTATACACACGTTACCCATAGAAAATGTAGCTTGTAGTGGAACTTTCCGTCTATAGAAAACGGGATATCATTGCCACATACTATTATAAATTCACCACCTATTATGGTGGGAATTATTCTTAAATACATTAGTCTTTGGACTTTACCATCATAAAAACATCTCATATAAATTAACTTAATTATCAATATTAAAATAGAGTAAATGTGACCTTTCTATCACTTTCTGATATCTGGATAATGTAGGCCAGTAGCGTCAGTGGTGAGGGAGTGGTCAGCCATTGTTATTGTTCTTAGACCAGAGGCGCACGGGAGCAAATTCTGCTCCTGTTAATTTCTCTTGGACGAAGTGTTATGGAAACCAAAGGTCTTCTATTATCAACACGCTGTCATCAAATACAAGGAAAGTGTTCTGCTGAAACCCGTTTATCTAATCATTTCTGGCCAGTTAAATGTTAGGTAGATAAGGGCGAGCCGGTTAGAATGCGAAATCGCCTCATACAAAAGGTAATTAAGCCTTGGTCTTTATGGTTCATTGTACAGTGTTTTCTCTGATATAGCTGTCATATATTAGGATTCTGGCTTCATAGCTAGCGCCCTTTTGACAGGTCAAGACGAGGAAGCATGCTTTGTGTATCAGTTACCAGGGTGATGGAAGCTACCTCACACGAGGAAAATTTGGTGTCTACATCCTAGTTATACCTGGTGGACTAAGGCCTGCTGTACAATTAAGATAAGGAACCTCTTTAATGTACTAATATGTAGTTTAATACTGTAGTTTGATTGGCTGCATATATATATATATATATATATATATATATATATATATATATATATATATATATATATAAAATTCAATATAAACCCCCCTAATGTGTAGTGAATCGATTTGTGAGATTATTGCAGAAATACAGTCCACTTAACATCATACAAATTGCTATCGAAGTATATAAATTAACGTAAATATAAATTCTATATAAATTCATATAAATTAAATAAATATAAATCTCACAGGTCGGTTCCCACAACATCGCAACATACACTTTTTCTGTTTATTAAGAAATAAGTCCCCGAGCTTCAAGTCCAGACTACAAAAGTTCTTGTGTGATTATTTTTTCAAGCCATTTATTTGACCTCTTACTACAATAAAGTCCCGCACGCAGAATTTCTGTGTTATTTGGACTCTACAATAAAGACCCGCAAGCAGAATTTCTGTGTTATTTGGACTCTACAATAAAGTCCCGCACGCAGAATTTCTGTGTTATTTGGACTCTACAATAAAGACCCGCACGCAGAATTTCTATGTTAATTCACGAGGGCATTACATTTCCTGTTCTCTTAAACATAAGAGTTAAAACACCGACTTACTTACTAGCAAGGTACTCCCAGGCTTCCAGGCCTTCTGCGACGTCAGGAGAGCCTGCTGAGGGCGGAGTCCTCAGGATCAGCAGAGCAGTAGCCAAGCCAAGGACGAGTGAAGCTCTTCCTTGCGGCCTGTACGTAAGACACCGGCGGTATTCACACCACCTCTTGTGGTGTCCGCCACTCATGCTGTGCCTTGGGCTGTTGGTGATTCTCCTGTTGTTGCTGCTTCTTCTGTTGTTGCTGCTTCTCCTGTTGTTGCTGCTTCTTCTGTTGTTGCTGCTTCCCCTGTTGTTGCTGCTTCTCCTGTTGTTGCTACTTCTTCTGTTGTTGCTGCTTCTTCTGTTGTTGCTGCTTCCCCTGTTGTTGCTGCTTCTCCTGTTGTTGCTACTTCTTCTGTTGTTGCTGCTTCTCCTGTTGTTGCTGCTGTTACTATCTCTGCCGCTCCTTTGTGTACCTATTGATGGTTACAACACTTTGCTGTCGCAAACAGAAAAACAAATTCCTCCTTTCAATTTTGTTTTCTCGTCTCAGCTTACTAGTTCCTCTCCATCGTGAGCTGTTGTGCGCCCTTGGCCTCCCTCCCAGGCCTAAGCAAGAAGATTTTCTATACGGGGGCTTTGTATATAAATATTTCTAGCAGGTATACGCAGTATCGTATTAATAAACCGCTTGGGCAAGGCGTTGTTCATCTTCACCCACCACTGCAAGGAGGCAGCTGACGATGACTGCGTAAATTTATCTAAGTGGATCATCAAATTTCCTAACCCGATAGCTGCAGATATCGTCAGTTATCGGGGAAGACGTCCGCCACTACACGACGCGAGCCAGCGACGCCTATATTCCTTAAACATAGATGTAAAACACTTTTAGGTATATTGTAAGCAAAGATATCATCAGCGTCTTCAGCAGCATCACACGGATAATATTTCTCGAGCTCAGAACGCTATCACAAGCGTCACAATCAGAGGTCAGAATGCACTCTCGGCTCCTGTGGAGTATATATATATATAACGACGCTGTCAACATGGCCTTCACAGCTTCACAGACACTGTCAACATGGGCCGTCACAGCTTCAGACACTATCAACATGGGCCGTCACAGCTTCAGACACTGTCAACATGGCCCGTTACAGCTTCACAGACACTGTCAACATGGGCCGTCACAGCTTCAGACACTGTCAACATGGCCCGTCACAGCTTCACAGGCACTGTCAACATGGCCGTCACAGCTTCAGACACTGTCAACATGGCCCGTCACAGACACTGTCAACATGGCCGTCACAGCTTCAGACACTATCAACATGGGCCGTCACAGCTTCACAGACACTGTCAACATGGCCCGTCACAGCCTCACAGACACTATCAACATGGCCCGTCACAGCCTCACAGACACTGTCAACATGGGCCGTCACAGCTTCAATCACTGTCAACATGGCCCGTCACAGCCTCACAGACACTGTCATCATGGCCCGTCACAGCCTCATAGACACTGTCAACATGACCGTCACAGCTTCAGACACTATCAACATGGGCCGTCACAGCTTCACAGACACTGTCAACATGGCCCGTCACAGCTTTACAGACACTGTCAACATGGCCCGTCACAGCTTTACAGACACTGTCAACATGGGCCGTCACAGCTTCAATCACTGTCAACATGGCCCGTCACAGGCTCACAGACACTGTCATCATGGCCCGTCACAGCCTCATAGACACTGTCAACATGACCGTCACAGCTTCAGACACTGTCAGCATGGCCCGTCATAGCTTCACAGACACTGTCAACATGGCCCGTCACAGCTTTACAGACACTGTCAACATGGCCCGTCACAGCTTTACAGACACTGTCAACATGGGCCGTCACAGCTTCAATCACTGTCAACATGGCCCGTCACAGGCTCACAGACACTGTCATCATGGCCCGTCACAGCCTCATAGACACTGTCAACATGACCGTCACAGCTTCAGACACTGTCAGCATGGCCCGTCACAGCTTCACAGACACTGTCAATATGACCCGTCACAGCCTCACAGACACTGTCAACATGGCCCGTAACAGCTTCACAGACACTGTCAGCATGGCCCGTCACAGCCTCACAGACACTGTCAACATGGCCCGTCACAGCTTCACAGACACTGTCAACATGGCCCGTCACAGCCTCACAGACACTGTCAACATGGCCCGTCACAGCCTCACAGACACTGTCAACATGGCCCGTCACAGCCTCACAGACACTGTCAACATGGGCCGTCACAGCTTCAGACACTGTCAACATGGGCCGTCACAGCTTCACAGGCACTGTCAACATGGCCCGTCACAGCTTCACAGACACTGTCAACATGGCCGTCACAGCCTCACAGACAATGTCAACATGGCCGTCACAGACACTGACAACATGGGCCGTCACAGCATCACAGGCACTGTCAACATGGTCGTCACAGCTTCACAGACACTGTCAACATGGCCCGTCACAGACAGTGACAATATAGCCGTCACAGACACTGTCAACATGGCCCGTCATAGCCTCACAGACACTGTCAACATGGGCAGTCACAGCTTCAGACACTGTCAACATGGGCAGTCACAGCTTCAGACACTGTCAACATGGCCAGTCACAGCTTCACAGACACTGTCAACATGGCCAGTCACAGCTTCACAGACACTGTCAACATGGCCAGTCACAGCTTCACAGACACTGTCAACATGACCGTCACAGACAATGACAACATAACCGTCACAGACACTGACAACATGGACAACATTGCCACATGGCAACCCGGCCACACTGTCAATATTTTGCTTCACTTTTCCTCATTTGCAACGTTAACAAATAATACGCAATTATTTATTATTTTTATCACAAATTCAAATCTATTAATATACAAACAAAAATTATGTTCATATAATTGAAGCTTTTATCTTATCATTAATGAGTTCTAATTGAAAATAAAGCATAAAGAGTAGAGAATAAAAGATAGCATCATTTTTAGAGCATATAAAGAGGAACAGAAACCAGTCTAATTAAAGACAATCTGTAATAGAAACAGAGTATATGGTATCATATATATATATATATATATATATATATATATATATATATATATATATATACATCGTTTCGAGAAAATGTCGAACTAGCTGTTAATGTCAGTTGAAAAGGAGATAATTAGGGAGTAAGGGAGATGGTGGCAACTCCCTCCCTTAGTACCCTTGGGGAGGGGTGAGAGAGGGAGGGAGCGAGCGAGGGAGATGAGGAAAGATACACAAATATTACTCCTTTCAGTCCCCCTTCCACTACCCCCCCCCTACCCTTCCCCCATCACCTACCCACTTGTTAACCCTTCCTCTCCCCGTCCCACCTTCCCCTACCCACAAACACAACCTTCCTCCCTCCAAATCTCCCCCCCCCCTTGGCCCCAGATCACCCCTCCCTCCCCCCCCTCCCCCCCTCTCTCCCTCTCCCTCACTCTCCCTCCCTCCCTCTCCCTCTCACCCCTCAACAGCTGGCCTGGTGAACCAACCACACCTACTGGCTCGTGATTCCCGCCTTATCGTTGCAACATGTGCATTGCAACATCTGCCTTACATTCTTCCCTGTATCAGTGATGAGAAATCAGGGTGCCCGGAGCACTTGGTGATCTACCAGGCTGTGAAGTCAAGCGGGCTTGATGCTCAGAGTTGCCACATCAACCCGCGGCCACAGTGCTGCTTCCTCCCTCTCTCCTCACCTTTGGTTAGCCTGGCTTTGTTGACGGTACAAAGTAACAGTTCCTCGAGACGTCACAGTGTTAGGGAGACGTCACAGTGTTGAGGGGACGTCACAGTGTTGAGGGGACGTCAGAGTGTTGAGAGGACGTCACAGTATTGAGAGGACGTCACAGTGTTGGGGAGACGTCACAGTGTTGGGGAGACGTCACAGTGTTGGGAGACGTCACAGTGTTGAGGGGACGTCACAGTGTTGGGGAGACGTCACAGTGTTGGGGAGACGTCACAGTGTTGAGGGGACGTCACAGTATTGAGAGGACGTCACAGTATTGAGAGGACGTCACAGTATTGAGAGGACGTCACAGTGTTGGGGAGACGTCACAGTGTTGAGGGGACGTCACAGTGTTGAGAGGACGTCACAGTGTTGAGAGGACGTCACGGTGTTGGGGAGACGTCACAGTGTTGAGGGGACGTCACAGTGTTGAGAGGACGTCACAGTGTTGAGGGGACGTCACAGTGTTGGGGAGACGTCACAGTGTTGAGGGGACGTCACAGTGTTGGGGAGACGTCACAGTGTTGGGGAGACGTCACAGTGTTGGGGAGACGTCACAGTGTTGAGGGGACGTCACAGTGTCGGTGAAACGTCACCAAGACAGTGACGCTCCCTAGCGTTAACTGGGAGAAAGTAACGTTTAGTAACGCTAAATGTAACAACGAAAATGAACCTTCCATAAGCTAACAGGAAGACACTAACGCTCCCTAAACGAAATTGCGGAGAGAAATTTACTTTCCAACGTAACTTTAACTTTAGAGAAAGGGAGAAAGTAACAGCCTCCAGCGTTACGAGTGAAAGGTTCCACAGAAGCATGCTGGCCAGGGTGAAAACCCTGGTGTTACTGGCAGTGTTACTGGTGGTGCCAAGGGTGCAGGGAGCTCCGTCACTACGCTGGAGGAACATGGCAAGTAAGTAACGGGAAGCTCCTTTTTTATAGTTACTGGAACACACTGGGCTCTAGCCTGGGATTAGAAGAGGTGGGGGGGGGGGGGGAGGGATAGCGATTGGTCGCCAGAAACGTTGAACAACTTGAACAGGTGTAATTCAACGCCAGCTTGAACAGGTGTAATTCAACGCCAGCTGGAATATGACAAATATGTAGGGGAGACCTTTGATAACCCGTCGGCTTTCTGTTCTTGTCGAGGCCACTAGAGAGAGAGATGGTGGCCCCTCAGGTAAATTCAGGTATCTGAACATCAGCAAGGACAGATGAACGTCAACATCATCTTCAACCAATGTATTTTAACACCTGCTGAAACAGGGGACATCTGTTTTTTCAGTTTTTAGTGGTGACAAGTTTTATATTCCTTGACAATCTCGCCAATATTTTAACTAGAACACTCTCCAACAGTCTCCAACAGTCAACAACAGGCACCAACAGTCTCCAACAGGCACCAACAGTCTCCAACAGTCACCAACAGGCACCAAACAGTCTCCAACAGTCAACAAAACTCACTAACCCACAACTCTCCTTCCTCAGGGCAACAGAGGCACCAGTCGTACGACCTGTCGCTACACACACGAATACAAGGTGAGATATCCTTGTTTATGTGTATTACATTTGTGTATAAGTATTAATTATTCATTAATACATTTATAAGATTTACCAATTAAGATTTATAATTGTTAATCATTTGCATAAATTGCTTCCTGTTTATTTAATATATAAATTAGTTTTATTTTTAATTTATATATTTATTTACAAACTGTACGTGTATAATTGTTTACAAGACCAATGTGTATATACTGAAAAGTGTACCCTGCTTCTCGCTGTATGTATACTAAGAGTTTACTTTAGTCCACGACACTTTAGTCTAGGACTATAATGTCCTTGCTGATTGGTCAGAAAGCTGTTTAGGTGGCCTTAATAACCCCCCCCCCACCCCCTCCGGAGGCTGATACAAGCCTTAAGTAACATTCACTTAAAATGTTAATCTGATTCTGCTACTTAATCTCCGCTTCTTCGCGCCTATTCGCCTGCATGGACGGCGTTCGATTCCCGATGGTCCAAGCAGGTGGACACTGCACCTTTACTTCGTCCTCGTATTAGAGTTATTAATCTGTCTTCGTAGCCCCTTGCAAGTGGTGTATTGTCGATCCTGCAACTCCCATCATAGATAGAATTTGTTAGAACTTAGCCTGTTTGGCTAAACATGTTTTGGTTCACTTCCACCGAACACGAAACACCTCACACCTGTCCTGTTACAGGTGTTCGGAGCCAACATTACCTGGTGTCTGTCATCGTCAACGCCACGTGTGTGACACTCTGTCTTGATGGACAGCTGGTGAGTAGACTGTCTGTCTGGCTCTGTCTTTACTGTCTCTCTGTATGTCTATCTGTTTATCTGGCTGTTTGACTCTTCTGCTCCTTCTGTTTATCTTTTGTTTTCTCTTCCTGTATGTCTCCTTTATGTCTATCTCATGTCTCTCTGTCTCTAAAAATGACAGATTTTCTGTCAATTTCAGTTTGTCTGTTTCAAAGATGGAGCAATGTTAAGATTTGTAATTTACAAGATCAGTATTTAGGTAACAATTCTGTCTCTCTGTCTTCGTCTCTGTCGCTGTGTCTGTCTGTCTATCTGTCTGTCTGTCTGTCTGTCTCTCTCTCTCTCTCTCTCTCTCTCTCTCTCGCTCGTTAATATAAATAAGCGTATTTACGCCTTCATGTTCAGTGTCTTATCTCCCCCAGATGTACGCCAGCTCCGGGGAGGCCGTAAGCGCGTCACGGTCCGGGTCCCGGCACTCCGGGGTGCACGTGGTTGCAGTGCACGAGGCACGGCCCAAGCTGATGATGGCACGGCACTTCCTGACGTACCAGCCGGCGGAGCACGCCCGGCTGGCCAGCTGTGTGATGGGCGTGCAGCACGGCAGAGTGCTGGTGGTGATGGGCGTGGTGAGTGCTAACCCAACCTAGGCCTACGGAAGTCTGGCGGACCAAAGGCCTATGTGTATATAAAGTTTTATATCAAGTCTCCTCTATCACCTACAGCCGGAATGGATCCTGTTCCTTGGAAGCGACGCGGAGAACGCCCTGGTGACCCTGGGGTCGGCGTGGGCGGCGCAGGCGGCGCAGGGGGAGGCGTGGGCGTGGGTGGGCGTAGTTGGCGGCGCTTCGCTGGCGGAGGCAGTGACCACGAGGGAGATGGGAAGGTATCCGTCGACGGCCCTTCTTCTAGACACCTTCGTGACCAAGAGCGTAGCGGCCACAGGTAAGTACCTCAGAAAAAAGGATTATTATTAGTAGTAGTAGTATTATATACCTATAATCTTCACTGGTACAACAACCTGTTTCTTCAATCACCGCTGCTTGTACCGTGATCCTCGTCAGGTCGAGTACGGTGCGCGTGGTACAGTCTTCCGGATCGATGTTTGCAGGCAGCCTTCTGCGAGCGGTACGAGGGGTACAGTGACCTCTGTACCTGTAACGGCACCTTCTTCCCTGAGACCCGCAAGTTACAGGTATGCCTCTCGACACCTGCTCTTAGGGGACAGGTAACTGTTGACACCTGTTGTTAATTCGAATTTTTTAGTATAGTATATAATGCATAATTAAAACTGCTGTTGTTATTGCTATTATAATATACACCTGTATTATGTTCACTTGAATAATAAACATCTGTAAAATGTACACTTGAATAATAAACACCTGTATAATGTGCATCTGTATAATACATTCCTGTATAATGTACGCCTGTATATTTATAAATTATGAATGTATAATCATTTATTAGCGTAAACTGTTCGGTAGGGCTTTTTTATCCATATATTTTGGGTGACTTATTGTCTATTTGCATAAGGTGTAGATAGACCTAATTCTTTTTCCACAAAATGCAGATAGACCTGCTATTTGTGTCATAAACTATAAGTAGAATTACTCTAAATTTCCATAAAGTGCAGGTAATCTTTTTCCAAAATTAAATTTAACTGAAGAACCTGCTTATTCTCAGGGCTTGATTGAGCCCTCGCGTTCTGGTCTTCCTTTCAGGAGAGCATCCTGACGAAGGAGAGCATCCCTGTGGTGGTGGTGACCGCTAACAAGCCTCATCACTTGTACAGGTGACTCCCTGTGTTGTTAGTGGGGACCGAGAGGGATGAGAACGCATCTTGCGTCTATTAAACTAGATATCCTTCAAGTTTCAGGTTAAATTTGATAAAACATTTCTGTAACCATGTATAAATTAGCATCGTGTTGCATTTCTTGTGTTTGAAATCCAAACACAAATTAGAATTATTTACAGAAATCTTGCGCATGTTAAATATATTTATATATATCTCTGTGGTACACAGAGTGTTGAGGAACTTGTTCAGCATCCCCGGGGCGGCGCAGACGGAGGTGTTGGTGGCTGTGGACGGCGCCCACCAGGAGGCCCTGGCCCTGACGGAGGTGTTGGGCGTGGGCGTGGTGGTCCACAGACCAGAGGGCGTCGGCAACATCCGCACCAACGCCAACGTCAGGTTCGCCCTCTACAGCGTCTTCAGGAGCTTTCCTCAAGCTGACAAGGCCATAGTGGTCGAGGACGACCTCCTCCTCTCCCCAGACTTCCTCAGGTAAGACACCAGAAGTATGGGTCAGAAGTTATAAACTGGAAGTGTTTTGTGTTCAGTGCAGTTTGATCTGTGTGGTGGCAGCCGCTTGACTCCTCCCAGCCATAGAGGATCATATTAGAAAAGAAAGCTAGAGATAACCCGATTGTTATTCATCCTATAATTGTCTACCTATCTTGAAGTACTACTATGGCAACCATAGGTCTAAATGTTTACGTTCGATAACGCTCGATCTGCCTTCTGTCGTCATTTCTAATTGGAACCCTCATGTTTTATGTAATGGAAACTCATTACTGCCACCACAATCACTTCAACCTTCATTACTGCTAATCACTTCAACTCTCCATCAAGTATTCTCAGACAACAGTCAACAGGCGGTTTCAGTTTCTGAGTGCCTCATATTTCCCTTCAGGTACTTTCACCATGTGTCTCCAATCCTGGACCTGGACCCGACCGTCTTCTGCGTCAACGCCTTCAGCAGCAACAGCTTCGTGGATACCGCCAGCGACCCCAGTGTACTGTTGAGAGCTCGCACCTATCCCATGTACGGATGGATGGTATCCCGAGCCTATTCCACCGAGGTCCTCAACAACTGGGTGCGTCCGGGGGTGAGTTGATTTGACCTGACAAGACTTTGGGCCAGATTCACGAAGCAGTTACGCAAACACTTACGAACCTGTACATCTTTTCTCAATCTTTGACGGCTTTGTTTACAAATATTAAACAGTTAATGAGCTCCGAAGCACCAGGAGGCTGTTTATAACAATAACAACAGTTGATTGGGAAGTTTTCATGCTTGTAAACTGTTTAATAAATGTAACCAAAGCCGACAAACATTGGGGAAAGATGTACACGTTCGTAAGTACTTGCGAAACTGCTTGGTGAATCTGGCCCTTTATCTTCAAGTCTTAGGATTGGATAAGGATTTTCACTTAACGCGAATCTTTCTTTTCGGTTTTGTCACCGCCTTCCCTCACACGGGGGAACGACCGAGAGCTTCTCAACCGGACCAAAACACGGGAAGTACTGCCACTACATTCACCAGGAGGCGGGAAGGTGGTGGCAAGAGTCAGCGCAGTTCGATCCTGCTGTTAAGAAAATACACCTGGTATTTCCTGCAGATAGGTGACTGGGACTGGTGGCTGACGTGGGAAGACCTGCGGAAGGGCCGAGACGTGGTCTTCCCTGAAGTCTCGAGGACGTTTCACGCGGGGTCTGCAGGAATACACGTCAGTGGGTTCGAACAGGAGGTTTACTTCAACCGCATGATTTACAACAACATGAGCCACGTCCCCCTCATGGATATCAACTTGTAAGTACACACATAATTTGATGTGATGAGGTGGCCAGCTCTCTGGGCTGGACAAAGTACTCGTGCATCTAAAGGCGTTTCTCAAAGAGTTTACCGAAATCCTGAAGTGTTTTAAGAATTAAAGTGTAACTTGGGGAGTAGAAGAACTCCCAGAACCCCATCAACCAGGTATCAACCAGGTACTTGAAAGTTGTAAACAAAGACTGGTAATGCTTTAATAATCTTGGCAGTTCATAGACCTTAAATTTTCAACCTAACTAATAGACTTCGTCAAATGGCCAGTGACCTCAGAATTGCAACGCAAGAACTGGATTGTGACACTTGCCTTTCAGGTTGGTTCGAGCGAGATACGAGGAACAGCTGCGTTATGACCTTACTGTGGCCTCCAGGCAGGTCATAATCCCTCGTGACCTGTGCGACATGTCGTGGCTCACCCCTAACACCTCTCGCCCCCTCCTTCTCTACGTCTACGCCGTCGACGACAACGACGAACACGACAGCTACAAGATCTTTCTCACGGTTAGATATTTGTTTAGAGAAATTACGACGTGTTCACGGATTTAATTGGACTTAAAAAGATTAGTTGGGGGCTTAGATAGTAAAATAATCACTTATTTGTGATTTGATTACTTAATTATTTATTCTCAATATTTACCTTCTTGTTTTTGCTAGACACGTTGTATACTTGTGTTGATTTCTTTTGTCGGTGTCGCAGTTCAGTAGTTTGGCAAAAGTTTATATTATTGGGCATCTGGTTATCTTGAGATGCTTTCGGGGCTTTAGTGTCCCCGCGGCCGGTCCTCGACCAGACCTCCACCCCCAGGAAGCAGCCCGTGACAGCTGACTAACACCCAGGTACCTATTTTACTGCTAGGTAACAGGGGCATAGGGTGAAAGAAACTGTGCCCATTGTTTCTCGCCGGCGCCCGGGATCGAACCCGGAACCACAGGATCACAAGTCCAGCGTGCTGTCCGCTCGGCCGACCGGCTCCCCTGGAAGTCCAATTGTGTGCAGCACGACACATACACATCATCTGTTGATTGACGGTTGAGAGGCGGGACCAAAGAGCCAGAGCTCAACCCCCGCAAGCACAACTAGGTGAGTACAACTAGGTGAGTACATATATCAGCTTTGAAAGCAGCTGTCATAAGCAATATATTGACTTGTTTTGTCTACATGTGAGGGTTTGTCTCCTTGCAGTGCTTCCGGACGTACGACTTGAGTACGAGGGAGATGTACAAGGGGGTGATGAGGGTCAGGTGGCGCGGGACTGTGGTTTACTTGGTGGGCTGCCCCTTCTCCCCCTTCTGGTGAGTAGCAGGTTTACTTTGTCCCTTCTGGTGAGTCTCAGGTTTACTTTCTGTCCCTTTTGGAGAGTCACAGGTTTACTTTCTGTCCCTTCTGGTGGGTCGCAGGTTTACTTTTCCCCTCTAACGAGTCCTGGTTCTAATTGAAATATATATATATATATATATATATATATATATATATATATATATATATATATATATATATATATATATATATATATATATATATATGTATATATATAATATATTTATATGTATATATATATACATATATATATATTTATATGTATATATATATATACATATATATATATACACATATATATTAGTATATTTTGGTAGCAGTCTTTCCTGTAGACATATATTATTAAATATGACCGAAAAAGTAAGATTAATAATTCTAACACGAATTTTCTCAATCTTTCGTACATTACGCTTCACTGTTGGAGGTAAATCAAAAATCAATTCTCCAAAATTCATTTTTATTTCTAGTCTGACGCGACACGGGCGCGTTTCGTAAACTTATTACATTTTCAAAGACTTTAGTTCACAAATACACAACTGAATAGAACTTACGTATCTCCGATTTTATATCTACATTTGAGTGAGGTGGAAGGGGTGATGTGGCATTAACACAAGACAGAACAAAATGTGGTATTAATAGGGTATTAATTTCATCAACACAAGACAGAACAAAAGTATTAATAGGGTATTAATTTCATCAACACAAGACAGAACACGAAACAATGGATATTGAATAGAAGTGTTTGTAGAAAGCCTATTGGTCCATATTTCTTGATGCTTCTATATTGGAGCGGAGTCTAGAGGTGGGTAGAATATAGTTGTGCAATAATTGGCTGTTGATTGCTGGTGTTGACTTCTTGATGTGTAGTGCCTCGCAAACGTCAAGCCGCCTGCTATCGCTGTATCTATCGATGATTTCTGTGTTGTTTACTAGGATTTCTCTGGCGATGGTTTGGTTGTGGGAAGAGATTATATGTTCCTTAATGGAGCCCTGTTGCTTATGCATCGTTAAACGCCTAGAAAGAGATGTTGTTGTCTTGCCTATATACTGGGTTTTTTGGAGCTTACAGTCCCCAAGTGGGCATTTGAAGGCATAGACGACGTTAGTCTCTTTTAAAGCGTTCTGTTTTGTGTCTGGAGAGTTTCTCATGAGTAGGCTGGCCGTTTTTCTGGTTTTATAGTAAATCGTCAGTTGTATCCTCTGATTTTTGTCTGTAGGGATAACGTTTCTATTAACAATATCTTTCAGGACCCTTTCCTCCGTTTTATGAGCTGTGGAAAAGAAGTTCCTGTAAAATAGTCTAATAGGGGGTATAGGTGTTGTGTTAGTTGTCTCTTCAGAGGTTGCATGGCTTTTCACTTTCCTTCTTTATACACATATACATATATATATATATAAATATATATATATATATATATATATATATATATATATATATATATATATATATATATATATATATATATATATATATATATGAGCTCACCATGAGAGTAAGGACAAGACAAGAACATATCGATGCCAACACAGAAGACAATGTCCAACATAACAGGCCAATTACACTGGATTAATCTTTGTGTTTGGATAGGAGATGCCTCGTATGGGCCAATAAGCCTTCTGCAGCCCCTATGTTTATCCCTTACGTATCCCCCCATGTTTTCACCTTCATTGTATTATCACCTGACCTAATGCGGGTATAAAATCAACTAGTATTGTAAGATCTGTTCACTTGAGAATGAACCATGGAGGTTCGAAACGTCGTGCAAATTATACAAATAAGTGTAATACACTCTATAGTAAATCACTTCTTTTCTTCACCTTAAAAGTACGAAAATGAGTTTTGGAGAACTCCTATTTCAATTAAGCCCTGATGCTAAGAAAATAGTTAGAAGGATAGAAGCCCTAAACCAGAAAATAATAAATACAGAATATGCGGTCATATTCAATGAAACATGTTTGAAAGAAAACCTGCTGCCAGTATACACCAATATATATATATATATATATATATATATATATATATATATATATATATATATATATATATATATATATATATATATATATATATATATTTCTCCAATTGTATTATTATTATAAGTAACATTGGTTTCTACGAAGTCGTCCTGGGCTGATGACCTCCCTCTCTGGGAGCAATAATAATAAACAGAACTCATCTGGAGGCACCCTAGACTGCGGTAGACTGCGGTAGACTGCGGTAGACTATCGGTGTTTCAAGTGTTGTCCCAACGTGGGCTAAGAGCGAAGACGCAGCTAGAGAACTGCGTCTGATATAGTCCCATGCATAAAATAGTTGATTATATTATATGTTCAAACTTTCTAATTAAATTCCATTACATGACTATAAAGGTAGAGAGGATGAAGAGAGCCTTTTGGGTTTTAACCCCAGTTGTATGATCTCTCTCTCTCTCTCTCTCTCTCTCTCTCTCTCTCTCTCTCTCTCTCTCTCTCTCTCTCTCTCTCTCTCTCTCTCTCTCTCTCTCTCTCTCTCTCTCTCTCTCTCTCTCTCATATATATCTTTTCCTCTACCCAGTTTTCACAACGAGAAGAACAAAGTAGCATTCAAGCCGTCAGCGATGGACCTGCAGCAGGCCAGCCTGGCGAGGGACGCCTGGGAGAATACCTTCCTGAAGGGAAACCCACGCCTCGCCCACCACCCCGCCCTCACCTCTCCCCTCAACCTCACCCACCTCGTCACCTTGGCAGCCCACCCGACAGCTTCACCACCCACCCACGTGAATGGTGACGGAGATTGGTGATGTTTGGCAGTTATTTGGCGTCAGGCGGCGTCTGTACGTCGTCGTCTTCATGGGCACCAGGTCTTCAACCCGCTTCTTTACCAAGATGAGGTACTGGTGAGAGAGAGAGAGAGTGAGAGAGAGAATGAAGGTGTGGAATGATTGCCTGCCAGTCACCAACCGCATCCCGCACAAGTTACAAGTTCCTGAATGGCATGAAAGGTTGTTTCAGCGTTTCCAGATCCTCACCAAGCCAAGAAATGTGTCCCTAATTCCATAAAATACTTCTCCCAACATGAAATTTCACTTCACCAAGCGCTCAAGCACCGAGATGAGAATGAGCGGGCGTGTGAGAGGATGGTGAGGCGTGGAGGGTACTCCACCTGCCATCACAACACAAGCGCTGGTCCATAGAGATGGATGTTGTATGATAATAATGTTTCCACGATATATCAGCCAGACGCAAGGGACTTGTGTGAGTTGATTTATCTGAGAGAAAGACATGTGCGAATGTGGGCTTTTCTGCGTACGTGGGTTTGTGATACATTTTGTGTGTTTTCCTCTGTCTCTGTCTCTCTCTCTCTCTCTCTCTCTCTCTCTCTCTCTCTCTCTCTCTCTCTCTCTCTCTCTCTCTCTCTCTCTCTCTCTCTCTCTCTCTCGTCGCCCATTCGACATACCAAGTTAATATCTACATTTAATTAACTTCCCCGTCGCTCGCCATCAATCTTGCTATTTCCATCATTGCTTCAACCCAACCATACAACCATCCAATGCAATTAAGTTTTGTTAAGGTGTGTGTGTTTGTGTGTGTGTGTGTGTGTGTGTGTGTGTGTGTGCTTACCTAATTGTGCTTGCGGGGGTTGAGCTCTGGCTCTTTGATCCCGCCTCTCAACTGTCAATCAACTAATGTACAGGTTCCTGAGCCTACTGGGCTCTATCATATCTACACGTGTGTATGTGTGTGTGTGTGTGTGTGTGTGTGTGTGTGTGTGTGTGTGTGTGTGTGATCATCACCCCACACCTTATCTCTCCCCCTACCCCCCCCCCCCCCCACCTCTCCTCCACGTTCCTGCATCGCCGTATTCCCATTTACTAAGCCTATTACGTCTCCGGGAAATAGGGCGGCTTCACAATTGGTGAGGCTTCTGCCCCTTGCCAATTTTCAGGGTGAGCAGAGCGCGGGGGTCAAGTGTCGTGTTCCCACACTGGCTGACGGCTCCCGGCCCAGACAGACTGACAAAATATTATTAATTAAAGATACCTCCTCCATCACCCTGTGGCTCTTAGAGGGAGGGAGGGAGGGAGGAGGAGGAGGAGGGAGAGGATGGAAGGGAGAGGAGGAGCATGGGAGGGAAGTGGAAGGGAGGAGGGAGATGAGTGGATGGAGGGGAGGAGAGGAAGGAGTGAACGGAATGAAAGGGAGAATGAGAGGTGAAGGTAAGTGGAAGAGGGTAAGGGTAAGCGGGGGAAACGAGGGGAAAAGGAAGGAATGGGAGATATGAGAGGCATGTGAGGGGTGAACAATGATAAATTTGATGCAAGAGAGAAGGAGAAGAGAGAAGGAGAAGATAACCGGACTCTTAACAGAATGTAAGGAAGAGCTGACCAATATTTATATCACGATTCCTTTAGCAGCATGTTCATAAGACTCCCCCCCCCCCCTCCCAACATCTCCTGACGGGGGCCTGACGGCCGAGTGGACAGGGCTCGGAGTTCGTTGTCCCAAGGGTCTGTATTCGATCCCCGGCGGAAGGCGGAAACAAATGAGCAGAGTTTCTTTTACCCTCTTTCGTTTACCTAGCAGTAAATAGGTACCTGGGAGTTAGACAGCTGCTACGGGCTGCTTCCTGGGGATGTGTGTGTGAAAATTAGGATTAAGGACTTGCCGGAAACGCTACGCGTGCTAGTGGCTGTACAAGAATGTTAGAACTCTTGTATAAATAAATACATAAATAAATAAATAAATCTTAACTGCAGGTTTTGTCTCCTTTCCTGCATCTTCTGGTTCCTTCAGCTATTCCATTATTATTGTTCTTTTGCTCTCTGGCAGCTGCTCCTTGCTGCCCGTGGTGCAGGAGGAGGAGGAGAGGGGAAAGATGGGAAACTTGGGAGGGGAGGGGGGGAGGGTGTGGAAGAGAGAGAAGTAGAGAGGCACCGAGATATATGAAAATGGAAAGGTGACGGGGCAGAAGGGGGAAAAGGATATTGCAATTTGG